GTCAGGCACCGCACTCGTGTTAGCTAAATGTTCATCATTACTGTCTTGTGGATCATTGTCTATCACTGTATTATTGTCACTATCAAATTCATCCAATTCAGGAATCATTATTTCATCGCCACTATCATCATCAGCACAAATCTCCTTCACAACACTTTCCAGCTGGTCTGTAGGAACATGTCGACAATTGCTGCGAGAAGACACGGTGAAACTGAATGAATGTGAAATATTTTTTGAACTTTTCCTTCTCGGAGGGTTCTGAGAGTAATATAGACCCCCACAAAGTTTACAAGGGTTCTTTACAACCATGCACAAAAACTACCATATATATGTCTTTGGTTGATGAGTGCCAAGAGAGCAAATAAGGGAAGAGATTTTCAAAGCGTTAAAACACGCCAACGCCAGGGAACGGTTGGCATCACCCCAGCGTTAAAACACGCCCGCGCCAGTCAATGAGTTAACTGGTTTATTTAACAACCTACAAGTCTCGGCTACAATTAATTACAACAACGTTACGTGTTTACAAAATTTACAAACCCTACACACAAATCAATTCACTCTGTCAGGATTCACTCGTTACAATTCATTTCAACTCATAACTCGCCACTGGCTAGATTCCAACTCAACTCGTAGGCTGCTGCCTTCAGAACTGTTCACTGCTGACTCGAGAAGTGTCTTCGGCAGCTGATACGCTTTAGACTCACTGCGGTGGCTGTGTATTTCCCTTATATAGTCACAGCGCTGGCCTGTTACATAATTGGTACCGCTGTTGCCTCACACCGTGTTACGTCACCGAGCGTTGCGTGCCTCATCACGGTAGGAAGCGGTGCCACGTAGCCCAGGGTGGGCTACGTCACCGTGGCCAGAGCTGCCACATCAGTGCTAGGGGAGGGAGGGTTTGTTCTCCATTGTGCAACATGTCACAATATTTTTACCCTTGAAAAGTTTTGACTGATCATTTTCAAGGAGTATGTAATTTATGGTGAATGTCCTGTCAAAACATGGTATCGATATTCACCCCTATGGACTCTGCCTTATGATTCCTTGATAGAAACCGAGATGCGCATGTCCCCTCTTAAATTTCTACCGAAGCATAATTTTCAAGAAAATCTGATTTAAGTTAAATGCATTATGGAGGGATGATATGGTGAAATTCAGTTGTGTTTTTCAGGCAAATTATGCACTGATTGAAATCAAGGAACATTTTCATCTCAATTTTCATTAAGAAACTGCACGGTGAAGTCCAAAGATGCCAACACCATGTTGCCACATCACCCTCAGTACCCGTAATCAAATCATTCACATATAAACTCATACTCTTAGAAGCAGCACAGTATTCGCATATGTTGCATATCACGACTTCCAGACACGACTCTTTGCGTAAATATGGGATATGTAAGGACCTACTGTTCTCAGGTTATGACACTGGACTGTCATTCAGATGGTTCTGAGTTCAATCCTTGGTCCAGATTCTATATATTTCTGCTTATAGAATGAAACCCTTACTGCCACCAATGATAAAACTCTGGGATTGTGAAGAATAACAGCTCAATGTATTCATTTTGTGCAGTTTATTTAACAACCCTCTCGATAACTCAGGCTGTATCAAATGATTACATGAAAGAAAATAATGAACTGAAAAGGATGTTAAGGAGGTAGTCAGGATAGTCAGTGTCTTTCTTGGCTGACATTCAAACTGATTACTTCCTAATGATAATTAAAACATACCTCTGAACAAAGGGAAATACAACAAAGGATCTAACCTGTAGTCATCAGTTTCAGCAAGTTCCCTGATATCTTCCAGGACCATAAGGTATGCTTTACCACCTGTAGGAGGCATCAGGTTGTGTCTAGACAGCCACTCCTTGTCTTCCTGGTCTCCAGAATATTTAAACAGCCCTGGATGCTTGATGTACAGACGGCCTCGTGTTTGGCCAAAGCCCAGCACCTTGTTAGCCCTGAGTCACAACACAATGGGAAAATAAATTTACCTTATATAAAACTGATGTTAGCAAAATATGCTGCAAGGAATTTCAAGCAAGGTAGGAAATGTTACATAGCATAAAAATTCTGGCATTTTAGCTCCCTATTAATTGTGTCCAAAACAATATGGGGGCATGCAGTAGTGTAGTTGGTTGAAGCACTGTGCTAAAAGCCAGAAGGTCAGGGGTTTGACTCCTGATGAGGTCACTGGATTTTTCAATTGACATAATCCTTTCAGTCACACTATGGCCCTGGAATCGATGCAGCCTCTAACAGAAAATGTGGGAGCCTCAATATCTCACCACCCTAGACTTCTAAAAAAATCCATGGGCAGAAAATGTGTGTCTCATTTTTCTCCGTAACTTCTGTTTGAAACATTTTCTGCTGTGATATATTTAACAGGTTATACTCCAGATGGACATAATATGAAATCTGATGAAAATTCATTCAGTGGTTCCTCAGTTGTTACACGCAGATGGACAGACATGGCAGAACCAACAGGCGCATTTTTGTGACTTCTGATGAGAACATGCCAAAAAGGTTGGGAAACACTCTTTGACACATTCCTGAAATATTACAATACTACTGTAAACTGTGTAAGAGTAATCAAGTCAACAGTTGTACAAGAGAAAATTTTATCACGGCAAATATACAACAATATAAAAATAACTTTTCCGTAAATCCACTTCCTCATTTTTAAAGCCCCTGATTTTGTTTTCGAGACAGAGAAATACAGTGTTTGCTTTATGCCAGCGTTGGCCAACCTAATACATCTCGAGGGCCAAATTTAGTTTATAGAACACCATCAGGGGCCAGATACAGTGTTTCTTTCAGAAGAGTGGTCGGGGAGTATTGCCCCCCAAACTGAATCAGTCACAACCCGTGTAAAAATAAGTGCATTTAAACCTATGTATTTAAATTTTACGTTGCACCAATAATATTAAGCCGATATTGAAAATTTCACCAATCGATTTTATTGCCTTCTATCACTTCTACCCCCAGAGCATTTTTTTCTTAAAGAAACACTGGCCAGATCATGCCTTATGTTTAGTTTTATATATGCCGGGGAAAAATGCAATTCTAATTTAAGAAAGAAAAATAAAATGCCTTGAAATTTGCAATTACTTACCATAACACAGCACAAATTCCTCTTTCAGCAGGGATGAGCACAAAAGGCTTTCAATCATAGTTTTTATGGTCTAATGATTATACCTAAATCCCCATATACACACTGTTTTAATGAGAGCACTGTGGTTTCATAAAACTGGAAACCAATGATATAAAATCCACTTCTAATTGTGAGGTTGCCACTCGAAGAATATGTGATAACACGACATCTGAAAGTCTGTTCCCGTTCTTAGACTTTACATGCTTCAGCGATGAAAACGCTGTCTCGCATATGTAAGTACTTGCAAAAACAGAGCAAAGTTTGAGAGCCCAATTTCGTAACAGTGGGTAACGTTCTGGTGAAAGCAGTTTCCAAAAGTCAATTCCAGTAACCTGAGATGTGTTTAAGGATGGGTCACATTGAAGTTCACAAAGCTCTAATTGCAGATGACCTGGCTGAGATTCTATATCACAATGTATAGGATTACTGAATAAAGAAATATCAGGTCGAAAGCTTTCAAAATCGTTAAATCGTCGGTCGAACTCTGAAGACAAATCTTCAATAATTTCAGTGTAGTCCCTAAACTCCAAGCCTTCTTCTTCTTCTGAGAGTTTCCGACAGCAAGGGAAATGTAGAAGGTTATTTTTGTCCAATGCAGACTTAAATAAATGTAGCTTTTTACGGAAACTGTCAACAAAGCCAACCATCTGACATATTGTCTGCTTCTTGCCTTGCAATTGCAGATTCAGGACATTCAAGTGTTGAGTGATATCAGTGAGAAAGGCCAAGTTTCTCAAGAATTCGACGTCTTCGAGATCATTCTGCAGTTCAGCAGAATTCGTAACCTCTTCTCTTAGGAATGTTGCTATTTCATGACGGAGTTCAAAGAACCGTACCAGACATTTCCCACGGCTTAACCATCTTACTTCAGTGTGCAGAAGCAGGTCCCCGTAAGCAGAATCCATTTCTTCCAAGAGGGTCAGAAATTTTCTGTGAGTGAGTGATCGATTTCCTCCTCTGATCAAATTAGTAATTTTTGTGACAGTAGCCATGGTGGTAGACAGTTTAATTGATTTGGCACATAGAGCCTCCTGATGTATAATACAATGCAAGGTAGGTACAGTAATTTGATTCTGTCTTAAAAATCCAACAAAACCGCTTATTGTCCCTGTCATTGATTTAGCGCCATCTGTTACTATGGAGGACAATTTTTCAAAACCACCGAATTCCTCCACTGCACTCTTAACAGCGTTAAAAATATCGACACCTCTAGTTGTGCTGTGTAAAGAGCACACTTTTAACAACTCTTCGAAAATTGTAAAATCTTCCTTAATTGCACGAACAAATATCAGCAACTGATTAGTATCCGAAACATCTGTGCTTTCGTCGAGAGCAATTGAGAAATAGGAACAATTAGCGATAATGTCTTTCACATTATTAGATATCTGGTTGCTAATATCTTCCAGCCTCCTAGTAACAGTCTGTTTTGAAAGGGGCACTGTTTGAAATTTGTTTCCTACCTTATTTTCATTGAAAGCTTCTGCCATCTTTATCGCACAGTTCTTAATTAATTCACCATCACTTAACGCTTTTTTAGCTTTCATTAATTCATATGTCACGAAATAAGAAGCCAGCAAAGCTTCTTCTTGTTGTTTTGTTTCATTGGTAAAAAGAGATTTCTGCTGGAAATGTTTTTTCTTTAACTGATCGCAGACTACTTTCCTTGATTCACAAGAGTGTTTTCCGAACTTCTGTTTATGATTTGTCATGTAATGCCTCTTTAGGTTGTACTCCTTTAAAACTGCTAGCACTTGAAAACATACTAAACACTGTGGCTTGTGGTCTTTATTTAATATAAAAAAATAGTCATGTTCCCACTCAGATTTGAACGCCCTATTTTCGCTATCAACTTTTCTCAATTTACTATTTGACATGCTGTATCACTTACAATAACTTCAAACACAATTTTAATTGAAAAACAGTTCTACACTCACACTCCGTAATCACACTTCACTTTCTAAAATCGCACTAACTGGGAGACATTTCTGCTAAAACTGGCACTTAACAAAGGCCAGGATGCCGAGAGAAACGGTAAACATCCCATCCCTGCGAGAAAGCTGGGAATGGTTATTATTTTGAAGGTGTCATAAATCCTTCACCACTACGGTCTTCCCTTCAGTGTCATCTCCCTACAGAAGTTGGGTTGGGGGACTTGGAATTTCCATGACATGAACACAGTTATTAGAAAACAGTCTGAACTGTCCAACTCGGTAAGAACGTATACAGTCAACTGAAAAATGCTGTAAGCTAATGAAACGTCCTATTAAAAACTGAATTCTATGCCAATACAGCTGTGAAGTTAAGATTTTTTAAAATAAACCTGAGACTTGGCGGGGGGCCGGAGTAAATCAAGTCGCGGGCCGCCAGTTGGCCATCGTTGCTTTATGCTAACACTAAACAAATTTTCAGCAGAAAGCTTAACTGAATGAAGGAGAGATCTCAACGATGATGTTAAGCAAGAAATTGAAAAGAAAAACACCAAGAGAAAAACAGACATCACGATGGGAACTACATTACGAAGTACTTCATATAGAAGGAAGGAACAACATGGGATAAAGATGAGGAGCTTCAGGGGGACATTGGCAGATAGAGATGCCTCACTGTTGAACAAACCTCATAAAGTGGAAATGAATAAGGATGAAAAATAATTATTACTCCTCAGCAGCTTTCTTCATGAACAACTCGAGCAACTGAATTTGTAGTGGGATAGGCGGGAGAATGGTTGGTTGAGGCACTATGCTGCAAACTGGAAGGTCTCTGGTTCAAGTCCCAAAGGGGTGAATTTTGGCCGCGCCATAGCTCCAGCAGTTAGTCACTGGCTTACCACCGTGGCGGCCTGGGTACAATCCCGGGTCTGGTCAAGTGGGATTTGTGGTGGACAAAGTGGCGCTGCGGTAGGTTTTCTCCGAGTACTTCGGTTTCCCCTGCCAATCTTCATTCCACCAACTGATCCACAATCACTCTCACCTATCATCTTGGGCTCGTACAATAGGCCAGAAGTGGCCTCAGTACAAGGGACTTAGTCCCACCCCAATAGCAATAAAAAGAAAACTGAATTTGTAAAAGAAATATGTAATACCTTGCACCCATAACGAAAACGGTTTCTTTCCCAATTCTAGCAGGATCCCACTTTGGCCCATCTCGACGAATTGATTCTCCTCTGCCTATTTTTAAAGGTGTAGATCGGCCTGATGGAAAATTTCCAGGAGGGCGAGGTTTGCTTCGTTTTTTGCGTGCTGACTGACTGGCTTCCGAATCAGTATCAGATTCTTTCCTCTTCCGGAACAAGGGACTCTGAAAAACAAAAATTATACATAAATATTTATAATGTTGTACCTAAATTTCTGTGCCAGGATAGAATAAAATCAGATAATTCTCTACTTGCTTACTATAAACCTGACCTGTAGGTTCACTTGTTCTTATGAAGAGCTCTATCTTCTGGGATGTAATTCTGTGTAGTTCATTGAAAGTCAGCTGAAGTTGCCTCCATCTTCAGGGTTCAAAACTAAACAAAAGCTTGCTGTTTGCTTCATGCTGGTTTCTTGCTTAGCTTACTCTTCAACCCTGAAGATGGAGGCAACATGTTCCTCCAAAATGTTTTCTAACATTAATGGACTGGGTGATGTTATATCTCAGAACGTTGAACTCTTCACAACCAACGCTAAAAGAACCTCAAATCATACTCACACATTCTTCCTCTTTATATTTAAAACATTTTATGTTTATAATCATAAAAAATAATGTCACCAAAATTAAAAAAGAACTCTCTTTCAAACATATCAGACTCAAACTAGGATTAATGTCTTCTGGGATGTGATACTATGTAGTGTGGTATATGTAGGTACCAGTGTTGTGGTGGAAACTGCTGCGTCCATCTTCATTGTACAAGAACTGAGCTGAGAGGGTGAGAAATTGTGCAGATTGAGGCAGCAAGTTCCTCTGAAACATGGGTGCCTGTGTACCGAAGTGCATGCCTTCACATCCTAGAATGTTATACCCTTAATATTCACTGCTGTGACATCTTCAGGTCTTATATACCTCATGCATATACAAATATACAGATTTAGATTGGTCGCTAGACATCCCCATGACAAGGAATCCTCTAGAGGAAATTATTTTGTACAAGTGAGAGGTCACATGGTAGCACAGTTGATTTCAATTTACCTAATCCTTCTAGCTGCACTTTGGCCCTGGGGTCTACTAAGCTGCTAACAGAAATGTATACCAGGAGTCTTCCTGGGGGGGGGGGGTAAACGGCGGCTGGCACATAAGGCTGACAACCCCACCACCATCTGTGAGCCAATTGTCTAGAGAAAATGTGGGCATTTCGTCTCACAACCTTATGGGCCTTCACAGCCTGTTACAGGGATATATTGACCTTTACCTTACAAGACATGTGTATCACCCATCGAGAATTCAGCAGGCATCTCATCATTTGCTACTTAAGCTTCCATACTGTTAACTTCCCCTGCTTTCTCTCATACTCCTTTCAAGTCCTATGTGTTACTGAATGAGACACTGAAGCCAACATTTAAAACCATCAGGCACAAAAAACATGCACAAATATTCAGTCATAAAATGTCTCCTTGATATAGTAAGCTACACTTCACAAATCTATGTTAGAGTATTATCAATACACACAGAATAGACATGATACGCTGAAACAAAAAAGACTCTTCACTTGTTCCGTGGCCTGGTACATAACTTAGGTGCATGCAATGCATCAACTAACACTCGATGACATGTGGTAGCTATGGCAACCTGAAATCTCACATTTCCCAAACCGCTTTTTTAAACATATAGAATGACTTGAAAAATAAAATGTAACTATATGGGCACTTACACGTGTGTTTGGTCTGCCAAACCGATACTCCCCGATACTGCCCGTCTCAGAATCACTGTGCTCATTGAAAGGTGAGCTGCCCCTGGACTGTGAATTACTGCAGTACATCTGCTTTGCATCCTCCAGGATCTGACGGCATACATCTCTCACGTGCTCCTCAGACACGCTACTGGCTCCCAAGTTGCTCTTTATGTTATCCACTGCAGGCTGAAAGAACTTCTGTGAAATAACGTAACAGTGACTTTACAGTACACAGCAGTCGCACTGATCTCAACTAAACTTTAACAGAGACAATTCACTTTTATGGAACAACATGAAGACCTTTGGTTTAGCTTAGTTCAGTTTACTGAGTCAAGTTTCATTACAAATATATAACTATGCCCACATAACACCAGCTTTTAGCGGTACACAAGTTCAGTACATACAAACATACGAGCTACAATACATACATACAAACAATGCATACGAACTACTTACATTGTTCAAATCAGTTATTATTACTATCACTACTGATACCACCAGTACTGTACTAGTACTATTCCCATTCTCAGTCCATTTTCTCTTCTTACACGTTTGCTTCCAGCTAACCGGGGGGGTCTCCCCTAACTTTGCTCTCTCACATTTAAAATTTCACTTAGTGGGGGGGGGGGGTCCCAACTGAGTCCACTCGGCACGGTGGCCACCGATTGGCCTATTGTAGACTGCCCCGGGTGATTATGATGATAGAAAATTTGGTGGAATGAAGAGTGGCAGGGGAACCGAAGTACTGGGAGAAAACCCACCCCAGCGCCACTTTGTCCACCACAAATCCCACATGACCAGACCTGGGATCGAACCTGGGCCACCACGGTGGGAAGCCAGCGACTAACCACTTGAGCTATGGCACAACCTCTCACTCACACTTAGTTTTAAATAAATACTTTCCAATGGTTTTATCTTAGTCACATTTGTGCAGCTAATTATTTTCCTGTATGTTATGTCCTCTATCATATCCCCTCTAATCCCACTTAGTTTCCATATCCCTGCTTTCAGCCATATTGTTCCCATTTTCTTATTTTTTGTGCATTCATCAATATAGCTCTCCTTACCCTACTCATGTTTCATTTCACAATAAAATACAGAGGAGATATTTTCACTTATTTTCAAAAATATGCTTTCTATATCATTGTACCTTTCTCTATTTTATATATATGTTAATTGCATTACCTTCTACCTGGCTTTGCCAAATATATGCTAAACCTGTTTTTCCCAATTCCTCTTTTAATATCTTTTCCCAGCATTCTACCTTCTACATTATGAAGATTCTATTTTATTTCTACGCTTTACTGCTACAAGACCAAGCAGAATGGCAAAGTGGAAATGATCAGAAGGCTTTCAGTTTGAATCTTGGTCAAGACACTGGCTCCTCTGTGGTTATCTGTGTGTTCCTTCAGGCAAATCCTGGGACACTACCTCAATTAGGCCATGACCACTTCCTTCCAAATCTTTTCCAATTCATCATCCATTCTACAACTTCATATGATATATTCTAGATATTGACAGTATTGTAAAAATCTCACAAAACAAACCATTACAAATATTGATATGTGGAACAATTCCAACTAATGTATAAAAGTCTAGCTCCTACCTCAAAGGAAACACCCCTGTCTCTGCTACAAACCCAACCGGTTAATGCTGATTAGGGAAACAATCGCTGTTTACTGTGAGAACCATACAGAACACACAAATACACTGTGTGGGCAGAATGCAGAGTTCAGTCCGTACCTCACAGGAAACACATTATGTCTCAGCTACAAAGCCCAACCGATTAGTATTGTTTAGGGAAATAATCGCTGTTTACTGTGAGAACCCTATGGAACACATAAATACACTGTGTGGGCAGAATGCAGAGTTCAGTCCGTACCTCACAGGAAACACATTACGTCTCCTCTACAAAGCCCAACCGGTTAATGCTGTTTAGGGAAACAATCGCTGCTTGTTGTGAGAACCATATGAAACTAATAAATACACTGTGTGGGCAAAGTGCTGAGTTCTTTTAATGTTAAAGCAGGTGGTATATGTAAGTAACACTGTTCCATAAAGGGTTAATCAGACTTCCTCCATGATGCAGAGTTCTTCGTAAGAAGTTGCTGATCATTCAGCCACTCCATCTAGACCACATCCTCACATCCTGTTTGATTATGATCCATTTCAATATTGTGACATGTTGCGCTCCCCCCCCCNGGTAACGTAACGCGCAACGCGCGGTGACGCAACCGTGCGTAGGGGGGGAGGGGAGCGCAACATGTCACACTGCTCCCTCCTTAAGGCTGTTCGTCCCGAACAGCCTAATGGTGCATCCCCATTCCTTTGCTTCGGAGGCTGTTCTTGCAGCATCTGTTCTCCAGCCATTACAACCGCTCCCTTCTTAAGACCAAATCGTCTCGTCTCCTTTCGGTTGGCCTCCATAATGGCCAGCAACTCCTTATGGCCGGTTTTCCATTTGGTCTCCGTCTCTTCTTGGTAGGATTTCATGTTGGCGTCCATTCTTGCCAGCGCTCTTATCTTCTTATATATGCTTAAATATCCAAAGAGGTCTCTTTTCTTTAAGTTTTCTGGCTAATATCCTGGATGAATTTCTCAATGTCCCTGTGCATGCACACTAATTTCATCACTCTAATTATGTCTCACCGGTCACAGGAGCCGAGCATTCTAAGGCATATACTGTCTTCGCTTGCTTGGAAGCCGAGATCGTGGGTTCAAATCCCACATAAGGCATGGATGTTTGGTGTGTGTATGTGTTTATTCTGTTTATGTTGTCCTGTGTGTCGGTAGAGGGTTTGCAACGAGCTGATCACCCATCCAAGAGGTCCTACAGTCTGTAAAATAATCATGAAACTGAGAAAACAGCCCTATGCTCCAAGTTGGGAGCAAGAGGAGAGAAAAAAATTATGTCTCAAGAGAAGCACAAATTGTGCTCTTCATTATGCAGTTTTCTCCATTCCTTGTTACTGCCTCTCTCTTAGGTCCAAATATTTTCTTTCATATCTCATTCTCAAACTCAATGATCCAATGATCTTTCCTCATGGTGAGAAACATAGCTTCACTACAAGACAGCAGGTAAAATGACACCTTTTGTATTTTTAATGCTTACATTTTTAAATAAGAAATGTGGAGATTAAAGACTGTGAACTGAATGGCAGCAAACATTCTGCAGATTCAATCTGCTGTTTAACCTCATTACAACAATCTATTTGGCTTGGATGTTGCAATTACTGCAATATAGCCTGTTCCCTGTGATGTAATTTTTTTCTGAGCTCTTTTCAATAAATCTTGGTTTATTCAATTTTAACTCGTATCAATCAAGACAGTCTGTGGCTGAAATACTCTGGACACTCACTGGACACCTCACACGTCCTACTGTAGTCCACATTTCCATCCAAGCTTTCCACAACCACAAACCTATTTGATCTTTTTAGTTGATACCATTGTTTACCTTCTATATCACTAGATTTATGAAAGTTCATTATAATTTTCAGATAAGACAAGTTCTTTCATGTCAGTGCCTCCAGACCATGTTAGGTGGATCCCTTGTCACCCCAGCAAGGCACGTCCTCAGGTTATGGATGTAGGAGATGGCCTCCAGATATGAAGGGTAGTTGTGAATATATTAAATAAGCAGTCACGGACAGCAGATAAAGGGTGGTCCTCCAGCTGGGGTTGGGCATGGGGCTAACAACTCCTCACCATAAAAAAATAAGCTTGTTACAAAAGATCATAAGAATAAAACTGCATAAGGAGGAACTTTATAATTTGTACTCTTAGCCAAGTATAATTAGAATGATCAAGTCAAACAGGATGAGATAGGCAGGGCATGTAGCATGAATGGGTAAGAAAAGGAATACATATAGGTGGGAAAGCCAAAAGGAAAGAGACCACTTGGAAGACCAAGATGTAGGTGAGTGGACAATATTAAGATGGATCTTAGAGAGGCAGGATGGGATGGTATGGACTCGATCAATCTGGCTCAGGATAGGGACTAGTGGAGGGCTCTTGAGAGCATGATAATCAACCTTCGGGTTCCACAGAATGCTGGGGAAGTTCTTGAGTAGCTGCACAACTGGCAGCTTCTCAAGAAGGGCTCAGCTCCATGGGTGAGTGAGTGAGTGAGTGAGTACCTCCAGATATTTCTTAATGATCGCATCTATCTCCTTGTTGATGGCAGACTGGATGTTCTGTCGGAGGATATCCAGCGACTTTGCGGTGCTCGTGATGCAGCTCCCCCGGAGTCTGTTTACCGGGATCTGCGGCCTGTGGGAGGGACGTAATCCAAGCTGACTGACAGCCAGGTTCGAGAGGGTGACTTGCCGCATGTTGAACGTATTCTTCTAAAAGACAGTATATGCACAAACCCTTAAGACAGTTACACAGTCTGTTACTCAAAATACAGGTAAGAAAACTGCCATATTTACTCATGCAATCACCCAGAATGTACTCGTACACCTGCCCCCCCCAACCCCACACCCATTTTAATAAAATAAAAGATTACTTTCTGTACCACACAACTGCCTCTCATTTTCTTGGAACCCAGACAGCTCAGTTAATAGTTCTGACATGCAAATGTACTGATGAAAACAAATTTAGAAAAATTAAAAAGAGTAAAAGTAAAAGTCTGGCACTACAGACAACTATAAGCCTTCATGTTCCTGTGGAGATATGATTCCATGCATTCTTTACCTTGGAACTATGTGGACATAAATGGTCAGTGTTACCTAGAGCTGTGGGAGCCCTGGGGAAAGGGTCCCTGTACCCATTCAATAGAAGGTTGCCCAAAGGCCCCAGAGCAAGTCTGGATAAGGTACTGTACAGAAGAATCTCTACCCTGTCAGGAACTGAACCCAGTCCAGAGTCATTCAGTCTGCACCCTAGTCACTATATTGACCGTTCCACCCAACAAGATTCACAGCCTGCAGCTGTAAGTTCTTTCTGTGATTTGCCACCACTTCCATGGATGTGCCTATCTCTGAGCAGAACATACTGCTTATGTATCAGAGAAGAAGTGTTTTTGAACAAATATTGTAAAGAAAAATGAAATGCGCATTTTACATTCTGTAGACTTTATCCATATGTCTTAAAGATTTCATGACAAACCAATTTGATGCTTGGCATACTTCCAATTTTCATATATCCATATCTCTGATTATCAATGTTGTCAATTTTATGTGCATCTTTTCCCCTTCATTAGCACAAATAATTGAAAGTATACTGTATATCCAGAATAGAACTAATTTTTTAACGCTAGTGGAGTGGGACTAAGTCCCTTGTACTGCGGCCATTTCTGGCCTATTGTACCAGCCCAAGATGATAGGTGAGGGTGATTGTGGAGCAACTGGTGGAATGAAGATTGGAACGGGAAACCGAAGTACTCGGAGAAAACCTGCCCCAGCGCCACTTTGTCCACCACAAATCCCACTTGACCAGACCCGGGATCGAACCCGGGCTGCCGCAGTGGGAAGCCAGCAACTAACCGCTTGAGCTATGGTGCGGCCCAGAATAGAACTAAAGTTTTGCTGGAGATCAGGAAGTTTCTTAGGATCACTGAAAGAAAATCCAACATAATTTTAAATGATGTTTTAATGTGTAAGTTGTTTGAATGAACTTCCTACATATTGTGACATATTTGTATTGTCCATTGCATGGTAACAGTTTGACAAACATGTTTCAGCAACAACAGATACACATACAACTATTAAAAACATTGTTAGAAACAGTGTTTTCTGTAAAAGGTCTGTGTTGAGGCTATATAACCAGGCCAGACAGGCAGTATACGTCCAGTGAGAGCCAGGGATAGTGAGTAATAGGGGATGACAGCTGGTGAGTAGACAGTCATGGCTCAGAAGTCAACTGTTGGAGTGTGTGAGAGTCATCAGATGGTTAGGACACGAACACCAAACAATTGTTGGGTTTCACTACCAGGCAATGACTGGTGAGGACAGAGCACACTGAGAGGACTTAGTTTCTGTTGTAGTGATTTGTAAAGTTCATGAATTAGTGATACTTTTATAATTATTAGAACTACAATTTATAAGAGTGCAATACATCCAATTAGTAATAATTCAGACCTTACGTCTAGTCATTAATGTGTGACAACATCCTAATTTAACAGTTATGTCAACAAGGCATTTTATTGACAATTTTTCATCAAATCACTTACCAGTTGCATCACAAAAGTATTATGAAGAAAACAGAAGCCATCAGCTGAATGCAAATCAGTATGTACCAGATATTTCAAAATAAAATTTCCCTAAGATCTTACATAAATAAATTTACTACTGACAGACTACTGATGAACCAAAGGACATCACATCAGCTGTACAAATGCAAGCACACATCAAATTTTATTCAGGCAGTTCTATATATCCTTGAGAAACATAATTGGAACTACCTAAACTTGCAGACATGATTAGTGATTGGCTCTAAAAATGACATGGTTTCTCCTCATTACAAACATAAGCAGAAGTTAGAACTAATGCAATATCACTGTTTTATTCACCACAGAAACCTAATTAGGAGCTATAGGACCTTCAAGAATTATTAATGATGCTGTAAGTACAGTTAATTTGGTACTTGCATGTCAATAGATAACCCAAGTAAACCATCATGCTGTCATGATGTTAGCACTGCCAACCTCTGGATCCATTTTGAAAAGGTGAGGCCTTTGGATCCATGAAAATGTTAGGCTTTTGGTTTTTTTAATAAATATCTAAAAACTTTCCAAGTTTAGGTATTTGTTTTTTTTTAATAAATATCTTAGACCCTTCTAAAGTTAGGCCATTGATTTAGTATTTACAAATAAGCTTCTATAGTTGGCAGCAATGAAGTGGTAAATACCATGGTGGGAAATCTTTCAAGTTACTTCAGTCAACTGATAATACATAAATACCGTTAACTTCATTAGGTTATGAACAGCAAATGCCAGACAGTTCAAGAGTTTCTTTATGAAATCAAAAGTGAATATGATTACACTCTGCAATTCTCACTTTGTAATGGAGACACAGCTATACATTTCCAGACACACAAAAAAGAATCAAATTCAAAGTTAGAGTGAATGAAACCTCCCCTACAGCTTAATTCAAAACTAATTTCGACTTTCAGATGAAATTCTAACCTCTAACTTCATTTTAACTATCATTAAAGCTTAGGCTTAACAAAAATGGATATTTCTGGAGCACATACCCATTCAACTTGAGTTTGAGAATCCACCAACGGGGCTGAAGATGGTACAACAACATTGCATCGCAAGGCAGAGGAGTCTGTTACTACAACAGAAGATGCTCTCACAGAGTTTGTATCATAATCTTGACCATGTTTCATAAAATGCGGTGACTGCTGCTGTGCTTGTTGATGCTGCTGCTGAGTGCCAGCAGAACCCACAGTCCAAGTTGATGTGCCTCGTTGGACAACCATGTCTATGACATGTTTATAAGCAACATAATTATAGACTGCATTGCACACAAAATAATATTAGGGGAACGACAATTTTGTATTTGAATCATGCAATTAATATTCAGTATTTAATATTTTAATAGAATATCTATCACACTGTAAATAAAGACTCGATAAAACGATATCGTTCAAATGCACTATATGAAATATTGAAACAGTATAAATCATTGAAATCATTATTTTAACAGGAACTTTACCGCAACAAAAATACTGGTTCCGTAAAATGTTCTAACCCCATTTCATAATATTCTGTTATTAAATAATAATGCAAGACATTTAAATTATAAATAAATACACATCAGGACGATGATAAATTATAATACGTAAATACCAAACATGCAGCTGTACCGAAATGATCTTACTTCTAATGTAAAACAACACCTCTTGCCAGATCACTCATATTCAAAAAACAACACATTTCATTGTTATTTTGATTGAAGATACAATACTGACCTATACCAAGCGATGGCAGAGAGTGTGGCAGGAGGAAAAATCACGGGTACGACTGATCACGGATAACAAAATAATAGCCAGAAAGCAACGTAACCATACGTTAAATTCACATGAAAATGCAAGTCATATATAAATTTTTTGTGTATATATATAAATATATATATAATTACGGCCATGTATATTGGTCAAATCTGTAATGAATACTGATATAGTGTTCTCGGTGTACGAATATGAATTCATTATGACGCAATTGTTTCTGTACCCTATGACCGCCTATGACAGCCTTCGGTGGCTAAATAAATTCAATGTGCTGCTACCTATTGTGATAATATGGTAACGATAAGAGGCGGTCGTGGTGAAGGTAGTAATGACAGAAGATAGTGATGATTTTAAAGAGGTCTGGCTATGAAATATGCGGCAATGAATTTATTGTGACCTGAAATGAATACAGCCAAGTAAGGAATTTGTGATCTGTTTCATTCTTTCTGTGAAAAATGCACGCATGTCATACATATTACACGAAAGGCTGAACACTCAATAATTCGTATAAAACTACGGATTCGTCTGTGCGCCGTGTTTCTCTTGCATGCAAACCATCGTGATTACTGTTATCTGAAACTGAGGAACACAGACATAAAAAGATTTAAACTGAGGTTAATGGCTAAGGAAGAAACTGTGCTACAGGGCATGATTGATAGACTAATTGAAATTGGAAGGTGCTATGGCATGGAAATGAATGTGGAGAAAACAAAAGTAATGAAAATTTCGAGACAACCAACCCCAGTCACAATAAAGATAGACCAAAAACAAGTGGAGAATGTGAAATGTTTTAAATATTTGGGTAGCTTGTTAACAGATGATGGAAGGTGTACTTGTGAAATTAAATCCAGGATTGCCATGGCAAAAGCTGCATTTAGCAAGAAGAAGAATCTTTTTACCAGCAAATTGGACTTAAATTTGAGGAAGAAACTAGTGAAATGCTACATTTGGAGCATAGCTCTGTATGGGGCTGAAACATGGACACTTAGGGCAGTAGATCAGAAACATCTGGAAAGTTTCGAAATGTGGTGTTGGAGAAGAATGGAGAAGATCAGTTGGACCGATTATGTGAGAAATGAAGAAGTGTTAATTAGAGTCAGTGAGCAGAGGAATATCCTACATGAAATAAGAAAACGGAAGGCTAATTGGATTGGTCATGTTTTACGCAGAAACTGCCTTCTAAAAGAAGCTATCGAAGGAAAGATAGATGGGCGGATAGAAGTGACAAGAAGACGAGGAAGAAGACGTAAGAAGATGCTGGATGACCTTGGGGACAGAAGAGGATACTGTCATTTGAAGGAGAAAGCTCTAGATCGCATTAAGTGGAGGAATTGTTTTGAAAGAGACTGTGGACCTGTCGTCTTGACAGATTACTGATGATGATGATGATGATTATGGTCCTCAGTACGAGCCCACATGCACGTACGACATAATAATGATATATGCTGGCGTTAGAATTGCATCGGCAGTGCGTAATACTGGATTCTCCTCGAACGAAATATATGGAGATGCTACTAAAAATGTGTTCCATAATAGTTTAAGTGGAAGGAACCGAAGACAGTAAACTGTGCCTGAAAGACCTCTAAGGATGGGTCATCTTCAGCTAGTGACTCAGTAGATAATATTCTCTATGTACGCTGGGAACCAAAGTCATGTCAGAGATCTCTTTGAATTCACAGGATTTTTCTTCACAGTTGCATACCGCATACCGTCAAAGATGTTTCAGACAAACAAGAACTACCAAGATTTATACAGAAGTTTATAGTGATTCAGGATACATAAATTTTAAGGCTGACTTTTCGAAAATGCAAAGCCTTCACGAGACTGAAAGTTATTTGTACGATCCTTCAGTAATCTGAAATCCAGATGTCGTATTTTTAATAATTATCTGTATAGCTTAATACTCGTGGCAGACACGATAAATGCATAAACATTCAGGGCGGAAACTTCCTTCGGAGAAACAAATGTGAAAGATGAGAGGATAATATAAAACCGATCCTATAGAAGCGAGATATGCGGATGTAGAGTGGATGCAACCGGCATATTTATGGACACATGATGAAAGTAACAATGGAATATCTTGCGATGAACTGAAAATATACTACGAAACATGTAGGCCTATGTGTCACGAAATGGGGCAGATTCACTCTTACTTAGTTAGTTATTGGAGAGGGTGGATTTCCCCATGCATTGAGACCTGTATCGGTCCATTGTGCTTCCCTCTATGATTTCTACCAGTCTCTATATCCTACCGGTACTGGTGCTTACCATCAGCCAGCCCAGCCAGCGAGACCGGCTCTACTAGCTGAGAGGTATCTATAATGCTTCCTCCATCTACCAGAGGTATTAGAGACTGCTGTTGGGCGGGAAACGTCCGTTAATTTGGCTCAGTGACCTACTTTGGAGATATGAGGTTCTTTTACGTGCCGTAAAGCTACGACACGGGACCCACGGCTTAAAGTCCCTCCCGGAGGACTTGTTTCCTGAATTTTTCCCCCCTTAAAAATTCGACGACCTCCGCCGGGTGTTTGAACCCGCGTACTACGAGTCATGAGGTGGGAACGTTACCTCTAGACTACGGAGGCCGCTTTCACTCTTACTTACTTATTTATGGAGCTGAGCCCTTCTTGAGGAGAAGCCAAATCTGAAGCTACTCAAGAATTTCCCAGCATTTTATGGAACCCGAAGGTTCATTACCGTGTTCACAAGAGCCCTCCACTGGTCCCTATACTGAGCCAGATCAATCCAATCCATCCAAACCCATCCTATCTCTCTAAGATCCATTTTAATATTGTACACCAACCTACATCTTGGTCTTCCCTGTGGTCTCTTTCCTTCTGGCTTTCCCACCAATATCCTATATGCATTCCTCTTCTCCCCCATTCGTGCTACATACCTGCCAACTTCATCCTCCTTGACATCATCACTCTAATTATACTTGGAGAAGAGTACAAGTTATGAAGCTCCTCATTATGCAGTTTTCTCCAACCTCCTGTCACTTCATCTCTCTTCGGTCCAAATATTCTCCTCAACACCCTGTTCTCAAACACCCTCAGTCTGTGTTCCTCCCTTAATATCAGAGACCAAGTTTCACACCAATACAGAACCACAGGCAAAATTATAGTTTTGTATATTCTAATTTTTAAGTTTTTAGAGGACAGACGAGAAGACAAAAGGTTCTGGGCTGAATGGTAGCAAGCATTACCCGAGTTCAGTTTCCTCTTAATTTCCTCCAGATCTGGTTTTGATTTGTTATCCTTGTTCCCAAATATCTGAACTGTGCCACATTTTCAGAACATCTGTTTCATATCGTTATGTCATGAGTTTGCAAGGTCCCTCCCGGAGGACTTGTTGCCTGAATTTTTCCGCCATTAAAAATTCCACGACCTCCGCTGCGTACCTTGAGTCATGAGGTGGGAACGTTACCCCTAGACTACGGAGACCACTTATACGGACCTTACTGTACGTTTCGTTTAAACACACTTTAATATGTTAAGTTTCATGGGTACCACAAATTCTATCAGAATATTGCACAATACTTGCCTCCTTACTGAATCATAGGCTTTCTTGAAGTCTATTGAGCAGGACGCACTACATACCATGGTCCAACACTGGTCATCTTCCGTGATCACTGAAATTCAGTGTAAGTATTTTTTATTTGATTCATTAGTTTTCTCTCCCGTTCTACTATAAGTGAACCTATATATATATATATATCGTATAAGGGACGATATTTTATTTGCTTTTCCCGTTATGTGACGTCAAGGAGGTCTGTGTGAAGCAATTACAGCGACACGAGAAAATGCGGTTCCCTTTGCTGAGAAATTTCTGGCGAATAGAATTTTTGTCTGATTGGTGTGCTGACCCAACACTTTCCGATCCTCATAAGCCTGCACCTACATTGCCACTCGAGTACTGAAGTGTGCTATGTCCATCAATGCCAGTTTTCGGGAAACTGGTGTTGTAATTATTTTAAGCGAATTTTAAGTGTGGCTTAGGGAGAAAACATGAAATGTAACAGCGTACATTAGATAAACTTATGGGTGTGAAAAGAGTGTTATAACACGGAGAATCATGAACGTCTCTTATTTCACTCTCGCCCGGAAGTGGACATAGAGCATCTACGTGTTGAGTCGAAGATAAAGTACAGTTTGGTGGAGAGGAGGAATTTTAAGCGCATCCTAACTGGCAGAAACCTGTGCTTATATCAGAAAATATTGATGGCAGTCCATAATACTGATTTGCGGTCTTCTGTCGTACACTTTTTATTCACAAAGAAAGGAAAAGAAAAAGTAGGAAAACAATGAGCTCGGGAGAAATATTCACTTACTGGAAACGTCTTCCATGTTAGTCCTTTATTCTCATTGCAAAGAGCTTGCGCTGCTAGAAATGGTTTGCGGCAAAATTGCTGGTTGAATTGCGCCTTGGAGGCCATCACGCAACTGTCGTGGCGGAGGTGCTGCCACATGACGGCAGTCTTCAAACAATTTGTAACAGATACGACATAGTTTCTCAAACGGTGTGTCGTGACTCCCCGGAGGGGGAAATGGGTCGCAGAGTCACTAAGGAGTATTGAAAAGTTACTTGTATTCAGACGCAGTTTTGCAGCTCGGTAAGTCAGAGAGATTTAATGTCGGTGCTTTCGGAAAACGTAGCCTCAGCCAACGAAACTTCTCGCGAAATTTTTGTCATTGTAAGGAAGCATTTCGCCGCCTCTGTGGTCTTGTGGTCAGAGTTCCTGGCTACAGATCCAGATGTACCGGATTCGATTCCCAGCGCTACCAGATTTTCTGAGAAGTAGTGGGTCTGGAACCGGATCCACTCAGCCTCGTGAGGATAATTGAGGAGCTGCTTGAATGGAAATGTAGCGGCTCCGGTCTAGAAAACTGAGATTAACGGCCGTGGGGATCCTTTGCGCTGACCACGTGACACCTGCAAAAGTTGGCACTAATTTCGCCGACAAGTGGCGGTCGCTCGGTCGGTATAGTTCGCTTGCGGACTACAGGGCACGGAGTTTCTTTTAGTAAGGGAGCATTTTACTATTTACTGTAGGTGTAGAGAGTCCATAAAGCTATATGAGTTTGTGTTAAGCCTGATAGGGACCTGTAACAGTGAGCAGAGCTGCATTTTCGTTCGATCAGCAGAATGCGGGGCGGGGGGAGGGTCACACACACACACACACACACACACGTGAGTTTATCCTTAGACGTGGAACTCCGCGGTGTCAAGAAGTTTGAGTGTCCCTGCATTATGTGGTGTGCGGATAGAGTAACAATTCAAGGACATAGCTCCCTTTTGTTTAATCATCTCAAAAATCGAAAGGCAACGGAAAAGATGTACCGGATATACTGCTTTGTCTGGTTTATCTTTGTTCGAAACATCTTTCTTCCCGTTTCAGATGTGTGAAGGAACACAATGCAGATCTTCGTGTAAAGTATCCATTATTGCCCCCGATTTCAAATAAAACTTTAATTTTCCAACAAGTTTAGTGAAAACCCTCAGTATACAATTTCATAAACATTCATTCGGGAGTTCTCAATTTGTCCAATGCGAAAAGGTGCACAGACAGACGGTGCTAAGTTGACACGCGCATCTTTTTGGTAAATTTTCATTGCAGTCTCGCCAGAACAACGCTTACTTTCGAGAACAGCTACGTGCCCCAGAAAGCTATAAAAGCAACAGATTACGATCAGTACACTTCATCTCGTGCAATAACGGCCATTTTGTAAAGTGGGTTCTGACGCGCGGGTCATCTAATGACGCGCGTGGGGGGGGGGGGGGGGGGAAAGACGGTCAGGGGTTGGTCGGACTCATTTGNGGGGGGGAGGCAAAGAATATTCAGAGTTGTGATGCAGTACTTCAAGGTAGAGATCACTTTGGAGAATAAGCTGAAATCAGAGGATAGTATTAAGTGTATCTTGGAAAAGCAGGCCGTTGAAACGAGGAATGGAATAAAATGACAAAAGATACGGTCCACTGGCGAGGTTATATGCGCATGAGATCAAACTCATAACTTATTGACAGTCGATATTGTCACGCGTAGGGGGTAAGCGTGACTAAAATAACGGGTTCCAGATCGGATGATTGGATTTATTTGCACTTAGGTTATAAGTTCTCTTACTTATACACAATTATAACGCTATCACTAATTTACGCACTTTCAGTTTACCTTTGCACACTCACTAGGATTCTCCGTCTTCTCCTGTCAAAGGATCTTAATACGAAAACTAACACTTCAAATATCACACATAAAGTCTTCTCTTCACAGTCGCATTCTTGCAACTATCTCTTCTCCACAGCCTCCCGTACAGAGCTGAACTCTCAACCCACCTCTCCTGAAATGACTTCTCAGTTATTCTGGATCATCTGCGCAGACCACGCAGAAAACACAAGTCACATTATTGTTACCCAGCTTGTTCATTGGGACGCTGACTGTTGCCTAGCAACGAGCTATAACATTCGTCCACTGAGACACAGCTTAATTGTTGCGCGTTGGAACATGTTGCCTGGTAATGCGTTGCTCAAATCCGTTACAATATTATTTTGGATTCACGAAATATACTATGTTACTTAGGTAACGAACAGACTCGGAGAGACCACTACGTAGACCAAGACATAGGTGTTTGGATAATATTAAAGTGGATCTTACAGAGATAGGATGGGGTAGTGTGGACTGGATCGATGTGTCTCAGGATAGGGACCACTGGAGGGCTCTTGTGAACACGGTAATGAATTCCCCCCCCCCCTTGGCACTACAGCCCCAGTGGGCCTAGGCCTCCCTCCATGAACTTCTCCTTTCACTTCGGTTTTCTAGATCTTACACATTCGGTAGGACTCCTTGGGCGGATGATCAGCTCGTCGCAAGGCCTCTACCTGTACACAAACACAGAAAAACGCACACACACAAATTAACATCCATGCCCTGATTGGGATTCGAACCCAGGATCCCGCCTTCCGAGCGAGCGAAGACAGTGCATGCCTTAGACCGCTCGGCTACCGTGACTGGCGTAATGAATCTTTGGGTTCCATAAATTGTTGGGAAGTTCTTGAGTCGCTGCAAAACTGACGACGTTTCTAGAAGGGCTCAGCTCCATGAATTTAATTAGTTTTATATCGTCGATTTAACGGCCAGATCGGGCAAAGAGGGGTTGTTTGATATAGCCGAATGCTCGTTACATACCCATATTCCTCATAAACACGTGTAACTGGTATTCCAGGTGATAATCCAGTGAATTCTAACTTTTGTTTTATATTGAACTTTGTCCTTTTTCTATTTCTTTTCTGTCCATGGTGTATTAACTTAAAAAAATGTTTCTAACACGGAACAACACATTTAATTTGCGAGAGAATGATCTATATGCTGCACACACACTGTGTTCGCAGCTCGACTGACGAGACACACACGACATATCAACCAGACTGTTGCGGGGAAGTCCCGGCGAATCAATCAGAGAATAATGGGGAAGTATCGAAGAAATTTGTCCCCGAAATCCGATAAATCGATGATTTACTGTACCTCCAAAAGATGTATATTTAATCTTAAGGAACACCTTGTCTCTGATAGAATTTATGGGTAGGATTTATTTTGACCTATTTGATGCGTTTATTTTATTCAATTTTCGTTTTTAACGTCGAAAACGTTTATTTACGAAGGCACAAATGGAATTAAACCGTTAGTAACAGAATTTGTAACTCAAGTAACGAAATGTGTAACGCTTGTGCAACCTCTTACGTAACCGCTGATAACTCAAGACCGATGGCGTATCTTATATTAAGAGTTTTACGTAAATGAAACAATAATGACTGACCTATCCAAAAATGGTGTTTATTTTGTTCCCAAAATAATTGTACACTGTTTAAACAATTACACAAAACATGTAATAGTTTTCCTAATTTTACAGACATTCAACCGCCTGCCACGGCTAAACCGCAAGAGATGGAGCGAGACACATTGCGACTGAAATGCGTTAATAAATACGAGCTTCCCAAAAATACAATCTGTTTCGGTCCATCGCTTACGGTTTAGCAGTTATGACCATTTGTTTGTAACAAGTACGGCTAATTCAATTCCTCTCTTTAGTGTATGACGCAATACTATGGGCAATGAACTCACTGACGTAACTACACACTAAACGCTTTGGGTAATTTCAATAAAGTACTGTACATGTAGTAATGCTTCAACAAAGCCTCAATTTTAATGTACAAATTACATTTATTCCAATAAAAATCCTAATTTAATACCGTTTTCAACGTTAATCCTGCGAACCAAGGTTCCCCAATCACTTTTTCGAAAATCCAGAGAAGGGGGCAGATGCCAAGATCCCCCCACCGGCGCCCAGTGTCCTCCGATGTCGTTACGGTGAAGATCAAAGAGTGTGGTGTCGGAGTGTTGTCCACTGATGAGATGTTCCTGTTCATTTTTATTAAAACAAGCAAATTGTTACAAAATTAAATTAAAAAATCTGTGCTATTTGCCTTTGAAAGTCAATCGATGTTTCGGAGTACCATGTCGCCTCTATCTTCAAGGTCGAATAATAAGCCAAGCAAGAAGCCAGCGTGAAAGCAGGTGACGAAAAGAGCTCAATGAGAACCTCAAATCGAGTCGTTAAAAACGAGAACAAATTAAATGTGTGTATGTTACAATATAGTTACTTGATGAAAAACGAGATAAAACGTTGACATAAACGAAAATGAATCGTCACGCCACTGGGTTTCAAACCCTCGCGCGCCGAATTCGTCACGCATACCGAGCTTGGTTACAGTGATCTGCCACTAGGTGGCAAGCTGCCACCCAACCAACTGTTGATCCAGAGAAAGAGACAGATGGAGAACAGAAAGAGAGAATGACCAGACAAAGACAACACTACGCGTGCATGCCACGGACAGGAAAGAGATGTAAGAGGGTGCGAGAGAGTGGGAGGGAAAGTACCAGCAGAAGACAAGTACTTGTTTTTACAAGATGGCGACCATGCTGTGGTTAGAGGTGATTGTCAGTCCTCTGTTGGCAGTAGCGATGAAGGGGCTGCTTAACCGCGGCCTGCTCGTGTTGCCGTATATTGTGATGCTGATTGTTAGTCTAGTGTTTTGTTGGTGACGATGGTAAGTGTAGCCCGTCTGAAGAGACTAGTGCAGGGCCTCACGTTAGTGGCAGTCGCCGCGTACACTACGATCGTCCTGTACCAGAGCATGTCCACTGCAGCCTCTTCGTCAAGAGGACCGTCCAGACAGCAGGTAACAGCTGCGCTTCAGGAAGCGATGTGAATATTCTTGTTACGATTCTCTGGGGGGCGACACCGTGGAACCGAGCAGGTTGGCTTGGTGGTACCCCTCGAAATGTGCTGAGATACATGCTATGTTGATATGTTGTGTATTTACATCGGTTTTCCCTGTACCTCCTCACAAATTTCGGGATCGTACCCCGACTAGGTCATCACCACTTCCTTCGTAATCCTTCCCAGTTCATTGTTCATTATTCGACGATATATAGGGCTCCGAACTGGTTGAACAGGCTTCGGGTCCCGGCAGGGATAAGAGATTTTTTCTCTCTACAGCGTCCACACTGGCCCTCGGGTCCACCCAGCCTCCAATCGAGTGGGTACCGGGGATCTTTCTCCGGGGGTTAAAGCGACTGGGGTGTGAAGCTGATCACGTCTATCTAGTGCCGAGGTCAAGAATGGTGGCGGTACTGTGTATCTCCAATCGCCCATACGTCTTCATGGTGTGGTGCTTAATTAAGCGTAGGGATAACTTTACCATTAGGTGAGCTACGGGCAGCGTCGTAAAATAACCAACAGTAAGTGTGGTAGGTTGGCAGCAACGTTTTGGAAGAACATGTGCCACAATTTTAACCCTGAAGATGGAAGCGTAATGTTGCTGTTAGCGCACGTCTTAACGTAACTACGCTAGCGTTCAATGGTAGGATCGTCAGGGAATGGCGAATTGGAAAGGAAAAGGTGTTTAACTAATTAAGCACTACGCCATGAAGACGTATGGGGGAGTGAATGTGCGGATCCACGTATTCTTGATGTCGGTACTAGCTGGAGGTAAGTGGTCAGCTTCACACATCGGTCGCTGTATCCCCTGGTACCCACTGTATAGGAGGCTGGGTGGGCCCCAGAACCGGTCTGGCAGACGTGAAGAAGAGAAAAATCTTGCCGCCACCGAGACTCGATCTCCGAACCCTCCGTCGTCGAGCCCGTAGCCAGTCGTTATCCCGACTCTCCGAAAGGAAAAGAACTGTACCGTTATTTGTTTGGAGGAAAACCGTAAAGCCCCAGAACATTGAATGTCCCGGACGAAATTCGAACCGGGTACTTTCTGAATACAAGCCCGACGCGTTACTGCTGCAGCCAACTCGCTTGGTTACACGGCGTCATAAAGCAGAACATCACAACGTGGAAAAGCACGACTTTATTTCCGGTTTAATTCATGGACCATCCCGCGACATCGAGTCATGTGTCAGGGTGAAACCTTTCGCGAATGGGAACGAGTAAGTTGTAAGGGGTTGCAAGTCCCCCTCATTATCGTCTCGTAAAGAAGGGAACCCGTTATTGTAACGGGACCCTACAGATATTGAGTTTAGGACGCGGGGACGCCGCATTAGTTGATTCTAAAGGGTTCTGACGATGGTGGATGACAAACAGAATTACAGGTAATCTGTCCAGTGATTGAGATTAGCTCTTCCTAAGTAGCCCAACTGAGTAGGTGTCTCCCTTTCTCACTTGAAGACGGAAACAGATCCAGGTTCCGAAACGTGTCCTCTATTGCCTAATATTCCGGATGATGGAAAAAGTCCAAAAACCCACTAATTCTGTGTCGGATTATTTTTTAACGGTTCTCAGTTTTCGTCATAAACATCATAATTGTACTTAGTTTAAAGCCAAAGGGCTATATCCCTCATTCTATGGCTCTACAGCCCTTGTGGACCTTGGCCGCTTTTTTAGTTTCATTATCTATACACAGTTATTATGAACTCTTGGACCGGGAAGCAGGCTGTCGCAAGGCCTCTCTACGTACGCACAGAACAACACAGAGCAAACACACACAGACATCCATGCCTCAAGCGGGATTCGAGCCCACGATCCCATTCTTCGACCGCGCGGCCACTGTGATCGTCCAAAGAACAGTATAACCGTGATTAAACTTAGCGAAATCTCAGTACTGTTTAGAAAAGATAATACGGTTTACTTCCTATGTTCAACTGTTCGCGTGTCCCCTGTACTGCGGCCACTTCTGCCCTCTCGTACCAGCCCCAGGTGATAGGTGAGGGTGATTGTGGAGGAATTGGTGGAATGAAGATTGGCAGGGGAAACCGAAGTACTCGGAGAAAACCTGCCCCAGCGCCACTTTGTCCACCACAAATCCCACTTGACCAGACCCGGAATCGAACCCGGGCCGTCGCGGTGGGAAGCCAGCGACTAACCGCTTGAGCTATGGCGCGGCCCTTTTCCAATCTTCCGAAACATGGAGATAAAGCTTAACTCGACGGAGCTGAGCCCTTCTTGAGAAGCCGCCATTTGTGCAGCTACTCTAGAATTCCCCAGCGTTTTATGGAACCCGACGGTTCATTGCTTGTTCACAAGAGCCCTCCACTAGTCCCTATCCAGAGCCAGGTCAATCCAATCCATACCACCCCATCCTATTTCTCAAAGAACAATTTTAATATTATTCACCTACCTACTTCGCGGTTTTTCTAGTTTTTCCTTCAGGCTATCCCACCAAAATCCTATATGCATACCTATTCTGTCCCATTCGTGCCCAGCCCATGCCATCCTCATTGACCATTCTAATTATACTTGACGAAGAGTACATGTTATAAAGCGCCTCATTACGCAGTTTTATCCAACCTCCCGTCACTTTGTCTCTCTTCAGTCCAAATATTCTCGGCAACCTGTTCTCAAACGCCCTCTGTCTGTGTTCCTCCATTAATGTCAGAGACCAAGTTTCACACCCATGCAGAAACACAGGTGAAATTCGGTACAAATATTGTGGAGATAGAACCATTAACAAATTAGACGAGTTTCCATCACAGTGTCCAGACCAGCTCTCGGGCCCACCCAGTCTCCAATCCAGTGGGTACCAGTGGCTCTTTCCTCTGGGATAAGACCGTTGGGGCGTGAAGTTCACCTCTCAGTTTCATACCGTGCCGAGAACAAGAATTTGTTGACTTATATCTCCACTCCTTTACACATCTTCATGGCCCGGTGCGTAATTATGAATGAATGATGTATAAGGGGTGGGCCTTCTCGGCCTTTGCACCGTGACTTACAATGATCTTTTGTGTCTGTGCCCTCAGCAACCCAGCGCTTCGAATGAAGCGTAGGATTTTGTACGTGAGAGCGTCGAAATAGTCACTTGGTTCCATAAAGTATTGACCCAAGTGACGCAATCTTAAATAAGCTAAGGCCTCACACTCACACAGGATGTGTGGCTGTTTCGTTTTCTTCTTGACACCTCTTACAAGTGGGACTATCACTTAGTCCCAGTTTGAAGAGGTGTCCTTTAAGGTGACAGTGTCCTGTAAGTAGTCCCACCACCCATCGGTGCGTAATGAAGCACAGCTACTTCAAATTTTTAATAAGATTTGAGGTGCTGACTGCGGTCATTATGAAGATTAGTCTTCTACGCTGAAGAGAGAGGCAGCAGGTTACTCAGGTTACCAAACTGCACGACGGCACATCGCAGAAGACAAGTCATCTACAAACGTTCATGTTCTCAACACGCGTCTTCCGTTGTTCTCACTTGTAATGCTGTCGATACTGAGAATGGGGGTAACTAGACGTAAGTAGCTGACACGCCGTCGTTAAATAATTAGTCAGTTAACCAAATGGCACACCGACTCTGTGACCTAACTAAACTAACCACAAAATAACTAACACGCTGAAGAATACTGGCTTCTGGGATATGCCGTCGGTGTATGTGGAAGTTCAAAATTTCGGACAAAATTACTGCCTCTATCTTCAGAGCACTGGAAAATCAGGGTACAGATTTAGGGAAAGAGGAAAGGAAACAGGACTGTCAGCGGACGAACAGCAGACGGTGGTTCATAGAAGGACGAAACAAATATTTTTAGGTAAGTTTTGAGGTTTTCACGGCGATGACAATGAAGAAAGTCGTCTTCTGGGTTTAGGCACCATGTATTCTTCGTTTTGGCCAAAACGAAGAATACACGGTGCCTAAACCCAGAAGACGACTTTCTTCAAATATTTTTAGCTTCAACCCTGAAGATGGAGGCAGAAGATTTGTCCGAAACTTTGGAAATATTAGGCTTTTATCAGACTATACGGCGTCACATACCAGAAGACAGTAATATTTATGTTCATCCCCGCGAGAGCGTCAGATCACAACAAACTGATGAGAACTGTCGAAAGAACTACCATAATAAACGTCTATGAAGCGAAGTTCTTTGTAGAAGCTACTAGTAGCTGAGCCAATCAGGAGAATCCCGCCCGTTATGGAGCCCAAAAGTTCATGACCGTGTTCACAAGAGTCCATGCCAGCACGGACGAATCCGGTAGCATGGTGATCGCGAGATTTCGGTGTGAAGTTCGCTTATATGAACTGTCTTACTGTCTTCTGGGATGTGACGCCGTGTGGGTTGGTAGATACGTACCATGTGCCGATGTGTTTGAAAACTGTCTACCAGACTACGCGGCGTCATGCCAGGAAACGATAATCGAAATATTCACTGCTGTGAGAAGCTCACATCTCAGATATGTTACAGCAAACCCTCGATAATCCTGAGTAATTTGGGTGGAGGAGAGGTCACCCGGATTAAGCGATAATTCGGATTAGTGCCTCAAAAGGTAGCCCTAAAAGATAAAGCAAATTAGAGCACAAATAAAGGGACAGTTTAATGGTGTAAGTAGTGCTGATGAAAATAAATAAAATATTACTGTTGAGGCTTTATTTAAGAACTGTAAAAAGGCAATACATATATTCATCGACGGAAGATACAGAAGTTGTACTTGTTTCTGAACGTAATAATGCAGGTTTGAAGAAGCTGTCAAGTGACTCATCTGCCTTCCTAAATATCATGTGTCTTTTGGAGTATGTACTCAACTGTGAACAGCATTTTTCATATTTCCATCCGGATTAACTGCAGCCGGATTAGCGAGGGTTTACTGTTTATTGTTCAACAACCTGCTGGTTACTGAGCAAGTTCTCTCAAACGCTAAGGCTTCCCGACGTGCGTTACGGAGCTACTGGGTTCGAATCTCGGCCGAAACGTC